TTTCTTTTTAGTTGTTGTTTAAAAACGTTTACTACTCCGTGATTATGTAAAAGAAAACGGTTCTTCCTTTATTCCAAATTTCTTGCTATACGCTTTTAAATTTGAGTTTAGGCTTTTTTTAGAGGCAATTTGGAACTGAAGAATATTTGTTTATGTTATTTCATCTTCAATTTCATGTTAACAAAGGAAGGTGAGAGCATTTTCTTTTACTTTCTTGGCCAACAATAATATTCTTGTTTGCTTTTGCTGATTTGATGGTACCTTTTTTTTATCCTTCTTTTGTAAGTTTTTCTTGTCCTTTCCTTTAGGAATGAATTGGAAAATAATTTTTTATTTTTTAATCTAAATTATATAGAATTGTAAATTGAGAAATATTAGATAAGAACAACTGCATAATTTAGGGACATCACCATCCCATCCCATTTTTTATTACAAAATAAGGTTCAATTCTTTCCATCTCCTCGTTGGCGAAAGCAAGATTAATTGATTGGCACTCTTTTCTTCTCTTAGAAGTTACAGTTCTGGGATTAATACTTCCCGTTCTAAATTAACAGTCTCCTGCTGATTTTTTCTGCGTATAATCTACGATCGATTTTTTTTTTTTTTTTTAACTTTTGACCTTAATTGTTGTTAAATAGTTTAAGTATTTAATAAAAAAAGTATTTATAGTTCTTATACTATCACAAGTTCACAACTAAAAAATTGTAACACAGACGTGTAATGTTAATAGAGTACCAACATATTACACGTCGGTAAAAAATAAAAAAAAATAAAAGCAAATAGCACACTAACGTAATAGACGTCCGTAAAAAATAAAAATAAAAATAAGGTAATTATAAATGTATGTAAAGTAAAATCAGGAAAATATTAGATATGATTTGTCTGGAAACCGCACGTTAAATAATCATAGATGAATGCTAAAGATGCTCAATATAATCTTAACGGAACTTTATCAATTTTTCCATCTTTGTCCCGAGTATCTCCTTCGTTAAAATAATAATAATAATAATAATAATTCATCTAACGTTGTCGAATTGAAGTAGTGATTTTTATGATTCCTGGACAAGTGAGACTCATAAACTTTCGTGTGTCGGTGACACGATTTTTATCCCTCTTTACTTTTCCTTCGAGATTTGCAAATTTAACTTTAAATTTATTGAATAGTGCATGTTAATCCGAAATTTTTACCCAAAAAAATTAAAATCTTAATTTAGAAACATTATTTTTAAGTAAATATTGAATTCTGCGAGCCCTTTTGTATTTTGATTTCTGCTTTTAGTGGATCTAATACTACAAAATGAGTTAGAATCAATTTATATCTGTGGAAATTACACCATAACTTACACTTGTTAACAATAGAAAACATAGTTTCTTCATTTATATAGTTATACATATCAAATTACCTTGAAATTTGACATATTAATCTACATAAAGAGATTGTGAAATCCAATGATTGGCTAAACAAAATACAAAGTGTACAAAAAGTTTATTGACTAATATAAATTACATTAATACTCCAAAGAGATACTTCAATAGTTAAAATTTTGAAATTCTAAATTAAAAATTTTAAATTCAAACTTTGAGCCGAGTGAAAGGAGAATGGATTTTTTTTTTTTTTTTAAAAAAAAGATTACCTTCTCTTATATAACCTATCATAAAAAATATATAAATTACACTAATATAAATTGATATGACTAGTACAAAATATATTTGGATGTAAGGTTAATATTTTTTCAGTTGGTCTAGGGAAGGACTTTTTTCAACCTGCTGGAGTTGGAAATAATTTATGTGAATCATTTTGGAAATGGTACTTTAAATTTCTCTATTGTTAGATTAACAAATGTTTGTGCATGGGGCGATTTATATGTCTATGTAGAATTAGTTGAGTCAGATTCTGATTCTCCTAAATAAAAAAGCAAATTAGGGGAAAAAATACTAAAAAGAGAAAAAGAAAACTAGAAATCCATTGATTTTCTATATACTTCTTAAATGTGAAAGACGGGGTCCTACATAAATGGGAATTGAACTGGGCTTGCATTGGTTTAGGCAACTAGACATTCCACATGGGCCACAGCACAAACAGAGAGTTGAACTCCCTGTTTTTCGGCGCTCTTTCGTTGGGCCAATGGTAAAATGCAAGAATTTTTTTTTTTTTT